TGATTCTATGAATTCAGCACAGAGGTAGCTGCAGCTGTGTTCACTTATAGTCTCAGAAATGATGAAAAATTTGAGGGGTTGGGGAGATAGCCACAAGGATAACTGAAGGATTTGAGAACATCCCTCTGAGGTGGAGGCCTTCAGTCTTTCAGCAGTTAGTTTAATAAAAAGAAGGATCAGAAGGTGCATTGACTACTACTTAATATGATGGCAGGCTTCTTCAGTCTTGTAAACAAAGCATAACAGCATGCCCTGACTGGAAGCTGAAGCTAGATAAATTTTAGCTAGGAACAAGAGACGTATTTTGAATTGACCACTGGAACAAAATGTCGGGTGCTCTGGCTGATTGTCCGTCACTGGCAACTTGTAAATTTAAATTGGATGTTTTGCTAGTAGTTCTCTAGTTCAACCCATAAGCAATTGAGTGAAGTCATGTTTTCCAGGGCATGGGACTTAGATGAACTCTGTAGTCCTTCTTTGTTTTACAGTGCCTGAATAGGAAAGAATCAATATTCTGAGATATTTCCTTACTGGGCGTAGTTGATATCTACCTTCACGTACCTGTGGTGGAGTCTCACTCCTGCTGACAGATGCATTGAGCAAAGACAGAAAGGCTTCATTACAAAGAGCCAGGAGAACAATCACATTTGACTGTGACCAGATTTAAGCTAATGTTTATTTGTAACTTAAAACAAAAGATGAGAAAGGAGTAAGTGTGCAACCATTGACTAGGACATGCTTTCCTGTTTGAGAGTAGATGAAAGCTCACATTTGTTCTAAGTATTAAACCTTTTTTTTTTTGCTTTCTACCCTATTTCAGGAACAGTAATAGTTAGCAAATTTATATTGCTTTTTTGAATTTTGCAGAGGTTGACAAACCAGTCTCCACCTTGATGAAAACGTACACGCTTCTGGAAAAGACAAGAGTGAAATGCAAACTCTAAATTTTCATAGTTTTTTTCCCCCACAATGTACTATGCAGAAATGGAGGATTATGGAGATAGTTTGTTCTCACACCATTTTCCAACATTCCTACTACTTTCCTGTATTGGAGGAAGAAAGATCTTAGGCTTGATTCACTACGGAAGTTCCTCTGATCTTGATGGATGTGTAGTTTTGGAGAGAGGAGACAATTGGTGTGCATGGCTCTTCAAACACCTACATGTTTTGAGGACCTGAACTTGAGAGATTACTTTGAACTCAGTGGAAGTCTCACAGAAGTGTAACTATGTTTCGCTAGGTCCTCCGTCCTACTGTCAGTATAGTCTTTGGAGCTCAGCTGTCAAGTTTAAATCTATAGCCTTCTTTGCAACCAGTATGAATATGTGCAGGGCTACACACCACTGAATTTCTACAGAGATTCCTTCCAGAGAGTGACTAAAAGGTGATGATGAGCAAGAAAGTAATCAGCTTTTCCTATACATTAACCTCAGCTTTCCTCTCAAATAGATAAAAAGCTTACATCTCTGTGGAGCTGAAGCAAAGCCTCTGTCACGTTTCTGCTTCTTCCCTCCCCTCTACTGCTTTCTGTTTTTAAAATCTAGTCATATGGGAAAAGATCATTTGACTGTGGAACTTAAATGTTGCAAGGCCTTGTGGATTTACAACAGTGACATACTCTGGAATCTGATTAGTCAGCTATATATCCGTCTCCCAAATAGAATTGGTACTGAATACATAGTATATATTTTTTCCATAATTTTTTTTCTCTTTCTTTTTTTCAATAGCGTTTCTGGGACCACCAGAAGTTAATATCAGCTCCTGTCTAAACTGTATAAATGTTACCATAAAGCTGCCAACCTCTCACTTCAGAAAAAATGAAAAGCTACTGTCTTTAATTGATATATATGAAGAGCTTGATTATGATATAACACTGAAAACACTTGATGGAGAGCATAAGGTAGAGAACTCTGTTTTATTTGTGCTTTCGGGGAGAAGTATAGAAAGCATAAAATGTCTCTAATGGTTAGCAGATTCACAGAAGCAAATACGTGAGTAGAAGATACTTAGAAGAAAACAAAGAGAATGGCCAACATAATCTTAGCTTCCTTCTATGGCAGAGAAGCAGGCCTAGAAGAGGAATACTAGTTGTCCTGTTTCCTTACTTGAAATAAAGCACAGGGCACTTGCTCAAGTGATTATTCTCTGGGATGACAAGAGAAAGACAGTTTAGCAGAAACTACTAGCAGGTGTATGCACAGCTGATAGGTAAATGTGTTCGGAAAGCAGTTCAGTAATTTTCTGTCAAACTGGAAAAATGTATCCAGCTAGTTTCTGAAACAACCTATTCTGGATCTGGTACTATTTAATTTTTTTGTGTGTGTGTTTGCAGAAATAGAGAGGTAGATAGGCATGATTAGAACTTAAAATGATCCTTACAAAATGGAGAAGTAATCTTAAAATAATAGGAGATAATTCAATAAGGACCAATGCAAGGCGTAACACTTAAGAATAATTGTGTGTGTAATAAGTAGAGTGGTAACAGCTACACAGGCAGCAGTTTTGCCAGAAAGGATGAGAATATTCTCTAATATTACAAGCTAAACATGACTCACATATAGAGAGATTAAAAAAAAAATCATATTTTTACGTACTCAGGGCTTGTAAAGCCCAGCTGCCCTGCACCAATCTGGGGTTCAGAAAAGACATGGCCCAGTTGAGCGGGATCCAAAAAGGAACAGTAGGGACTGTGGGGGATCCTGACACGTGACCTGTGAGAAAATGCTGGAATAATAGGGGACTGCTTAGTGTAAGCAGGCAAAGCACAGTTAGAGGGCAGAGTCTCTGAGTATGTAAACATTTACTACAGAATAAGAGGAAATAAACCATTCACTGTGACTGTGACCAAAAACAGCGAAGTGAAATTGACAGTTGTGCAGACTAGGTTAAACGTCAAGAGAGACATTAATACCTGGGGTGGCAAAGCTCTGGAATAAGTTGCCTAACTAGAGCATGGACTGCCTGTATTGGAAGTTTTGAACAGCAGGTCGGAGAGGTACCTGTTGGGAATTTAATCTGTCTAACTCATTCTGCCATGAGTCACAGAAGGACCACAACTTGCCTGCCATGGATATTTTTCCCTGATTTCTGAACCAGAATATCACTTGCAGTTTCAAATCTGTAGACTATGTGAGGCTGCTTCAAGGGGACATATAGTGACCAACAGGTGGAGACAGAAGGCAATTTATCTTTGATAATACAATATATCACAAACAGGCGTAAGGTAGGCATCTTGACATCAGCTAGAACTAGAGATGAAGCAGTTGTCTAGGTAAACCACTGAGTTACTGTGTCAGTTTTTGCAGTTTCACATGCTGCTGCATTTCTCTGAAATAGCCATGATGTTTTATCAGTGGCTGGGGATCTCTTTTTAGGCAAATAGCTAACTTTAAAACATTGTCTTTCATGGCAGAGGCCACGTGAGAAAACCACTGAAGAAATTTTTAATACTGTCATTGAAGAATTGTATCCAAATAGAAATTACTGTGTGTCTGTTATGATCACTGCATCTCTAAACAAACGTTCCATCCCATCAGCCTGGAAATGTATAACTGCAGAGACTGTAGCTCAACAAGGTAACTGTGCTGTGGTGCAGGAATGGATTGTCTGACTTGATTATGTGCAAATGTTTTCTTTTTACATAGGCAGATTTACAAGTCATTTAATCCTAAAAATAATAAGAGAGAAAGTACCTTCCGAGTGATAAACATTGTGGGAATTTTTAAGTGAAATATAAAAACCCATCCATTTGGGGGCTCCAAATCTATTGTTAATCCTGTGAGCCATATAAATCTTCACTAACTGCATAATTAGTTATCAAAGATGGTGTAATTTCTTTTTTAATTCCTGAATCTAATTTGAGATTTGGTCTTGTTTGACTTTGGACCAGATGACCTCCAGAGGTCCCTTCTAACCAAAATTATTCTGTGATTCTAAATAGCTGTTCTGAATGTGAAATATGAAATGTGGTCATTGGAAACTTCATTCATGTATGTTTGTTTCGTTGGTTTTTTCACTTGCAGATTATCATACAGTTGCAATCGCAGGTGCTGTATGTTTTTCACTGATATTAGCTGGTGCCCTGAAGTGTATGCATGCAGGAGGTTATATTCTTCAAAAAAAATCGCTCCCACATACCTTGGTATGTAATAATTCTCATATTTAACCTTCCTGGTTGGGAGGAGGAAGTTTACCATTTGAAATTTCTAATCCTGTGCATTAGGTACAAGTTATGTAAGTACATACAATGCTTTAATTTGCAGTTTTACTATGTCAGAGATAGTCTATAGGCTCTAAATCCTGTCTGTTCTGCGGAACAAATATTCAATCTTTTTCAAAACCATTTCTTGCTACTTCTGTGACGAGCTACTAACAGAGAGAGAGAGAGATGTGATCATCCCACCCTACTCAGCGCTTGTCAGGCCACACCTGGAGTACTGTGTCCAGTTCTGGTCCTGACGGCACAAGAAAGATGTGGACAGACTGGAGAGGGTCCAGAGGAGGGCCATGAAGATGAGCAAAAGGCTGGAGAACCTGCCCTGTGAGGAAAGACTGAAGGAGTTGGGTCTTTTCTCCCTGGAGAAGAGAAGGCTCAGGGGGTACCTCATTACAGTATTCCAGTACTTAGAGTGGCTACAAACAGGACAGAGACTCTCAAGACAAGGGGCAATGGGTATAAGTTGTACCATGAGAGGTTTCATCTCTATATAAGAAAGAAATTGTTTTACAGTGAGAACAATCAATCCCTGGAACAGCTTCCCCAAGGATGTGGTAGAGTCCCCATCCCTGGAGGTTTTAATGTGTGATTGGACAGGGTGCGAGATAATCTCATCTAGGCTCCTTCTCCCATGAAAGGTTGGACCAGACGGTCTTTCGAGGTCCTTTCCAGTCTGGGCTGTTCTATGATTCTATGAAGTTAGAGGGGGCAGGCAGTACTGAAGGGCAGACCTCCACCCAAGTAACTTTAAATGAACTCTTTATGGTACACAGAAGCAGGCTAAGTCCTACAGCAGAGCACCCAGTGTAGGACAATTAACCCCTTGCCCTTTGAAAATTACCTTAAGACTGAAGGGGTCTTTTCTCCCTGGAGAAGAGAAGGCTCAGGGGGTACCTCATTACAGTATTCCAGTACTTAGAGTGGCTACAAACAGGACAGAGACTCTCAAGACAAGGGGCAATGGGTATAAGTTGTACCATGAGAGGTTTCATCTCTATATAAGAAAGAAATTGTTTTACAGTGAGAACAATCAATCCCTGGAACAGCTTCCCCAAGGATGTGGTAGAGTCCCCATCCCTGGAGGTTTTAATGTGTGATTGGACAGGGTGCGAGATAATCTCATCTAGGCTCCTTCTCCCATGAAAGGTTGGACCAGACGGTCTTTCGAGGTCCTTTCCAGTCTGGGCTGTTCTATGATTCTATGAAGTTAGAGGGGGCAGGCAGTACTGAAGGGCAGACCTCCACCCAAGTAACTTTAAATGAACTCTTTATGGTACACAGAAGCAGGCTAAGTCCTACAGCAGAGCACTGAGATAATCTCATCTAGGCTCCCTCTCCCATGAAAGGTTGGACCAGACGGTCTTTCGAGGTCCTTTCCAGTCTGGGCTGTTCTATGATTCTATGAAGTTAGAGGGGGCAGGCAGTACTGAAGGGCAGACCTCCACCCAAGTAACTTTAAATGAACTCTTTATGGTACACAGAAGCAGGCTAAGTCCTACAGCAGAGCACCCAGTGTAGGACAATTAACCCCTTGCCCTTTGAAAATTACCTTATATGTAAATCCTTCCTGTAGCAGACAAATTTCTTCTACTATCTGAGCCAGGGCAATAACTCCAAAACAAAAAACCTACTCCAGTTCTTAGGTGAAGTGCATAGGGAGAAGACCTGTTCTCCACCAAGAAGGATGCTCTGAAAACATTCAGGAGTGATGTGTATCCATTGCTCCTTAGGAAAGCAGTTTCTGGCACATTTTGCCTCCATTATTTCCTCCTGCAGCATTGTACTCCTCTCTAAGAACAAAACCATTAACAAAAACAGAAAATTACCCCTATAATATTTTTCCATTTATTACACCAAAAATCAGAGCATTCCCTGAAGATTTGAGGATAGTTTAGCCAGGTCCCTGGTTGCTGGAGTTTAAAAGCATTTTGAGAGATTCTACAACTGAAAGCAATTATCTTAAACTTGCCTTCCAGGTCTCTTCTTTATCACGTTTCTATAGGAAAGCAAGCTGAAAAGACAAAAAGTAGCTCTAAAGACCCAGTTGGATATAGGCATATTGTTCCTGTAGTGATGCATAAAAATGGGCTAGAGTTGGGAGTTTTAGTCTCCAAAAGATGGGCCAGTTATTTAGGCACATCTGGAGAAGAAAAGAGTCAATGTTAGTGCTCTTAAGACTTTTTTTTTCCTAAAGCTATGCTTCATGGTTATTGTCCACAAAAGAAGTCAAGGACAGCATGTGAGAAGTGCTAAAAGTAAAAGTTCAGCAGCCTGGTAAGCACCAGATCTGGATGGTTGTTGGAAATGATCTCCCACACAGCAAATAAGAACTTACTCTCAATTCATCTCAGCAAGGAGACAAAGGACAGACCATCGAAGACCTTCATAGAGATGAGACACTGCTTTGAGGAAGTAGTCTTTAAAGCATGTTGTTTCTCAGGTTTCCTGAGTCTGCTTTGTAACATCAACAGTAGCTTCTCAGTCAAAGGAAAAATCCTCGTTACTGAAATCAGATATACCTTACAGGTCCCCAACCTTCCAGTTTCAGATGTTTCTCATACCACAGGCTGGGATGCAGTTATGTGCAGATATGTCCCTGCCAGAAAAGTATCCTAGCTGTTAGTTCCAGAACTGTTACTAGCAAGTTCAGGATCACTTCTCTGGGCAGCCTGATGTCGTCTTCCTTCTCCAGTCTCAGTAATGATTTATTACTGTATTCTGTTATAAACAGGGATTAGTGAAAAGGGTGCGTGATAGTGGAAAACTTAGTAGGAAAAAAGGATATTTACATGCAAGTTATCTCTGCCAGAATCTAGAGCTGGCATAGTGTCTTAGAAATTAACTCCTGGAGTCATTATCTACTCGAATATTGGAGTTGAATGAAAACAAAAAGCAAACAAAAAGAAAAGAAACAATAGATCTCTGGAAGCAAACCTACTCAGGGTAGGGATAGGGAGGAGGATGGGCACATACACAAGGCAAACAGTAGTCACATGCAGTGATTGGCAAAAAAGTCCATGATTAAGGAAGAGTACTTAAGGAAGAAAGGAAGGTAATGGTAATATATCACTCAAATTGTTCCACTGTTTTTAATAAAACAATCTTTCTTTGACTTTTTTTGTGATCAAGTGTCATGTTTTAGGGCTTGAGGAAGGCAGTCCTGAGTCAGCTAATTTTTTATTTTAATAGAAAGAGACGAGACTGAACTGCCACTAAATTTCAAGCAAAAATAACAAGATTCCTGGGACTTGTTTCTATCCATCTTTGCTTGCTTTCTTTTTTTTTTATAGTCTCTGACTTCTTTTACATTTAATTCTATAGGGTTTTTCAGCATAAATATTTTCCATTTCTACAAACATATCCAGAGCAGATTGGTATCAGACTTCTTTCCTCATGTTTCTGTCCTTTGCTATGTCATTACCTTCATATCGCTAAGATTGCTGAACATGACTTTGCCAAGTAGTGTCTAAGGTTAATTTTTTTTATTGTCAACATTTTCCTCTCAATGCTTTGAATATTCAGTAATCCTCAGAAGTGCATTCAGTAATCCTCAGAAGTGCAGAGTAGAACTGAGAAAATGGGACTTAGGATGTTATATAGTTCATTGCTTCAAATGGTACATTTCTAAAGGACATGAAAATTGATCATCCATGTAAGGCTTCTCTTTTGCATGGTAACTGCAAGAGCTACTAGAGAGTTGCAAGACTTGCCTCAGGTTTAAGATGTATTTCTAAAATGAGCTTTTAGTCTTAGAAAGATGTCTCAAAAATTAGAATTAAAACATTTCATAGCTGACACTGCTTGGCACTAGTGTAATTTCTTTGAGGCTGTCTAATGCTGTGTGCCTTGATTTGTAGTGAAGGCTGTCATATTTACAGGAATGGAGAAGAGGGAACAATCCTAGATGCCCTGAACTCTGCAGAAAAAGGCAAAAGTGTGGCACAGAAGGAATTGTTTGTTTGAGAACCTCATGATTGGGGGTATATTTTTTTCATATTTTTCTGTGTGTGTGTGTGAATTTGGCTGATTTTTTTTTTTAATTCACTTTGCTCTTCTAGGTATGCATCAGGACATTAGCCGATTCACCTTGGATAGTTAAATCTGAAGAAATAGCCTCTCTAGAGATCATTTACAAAGAGGTTAAAAAAAGGGCAAATGAATCCAGCGGTTCTGTCAGCGATGAAGATGACAGTGACAGCGATGTCATAAGTAATCATGACTATACAAGGCGTGAGATCATAAGTAGAGTACCTCATTCCTCTGACACACCGAATGTATTCGTGCAGTACTTTACAAATAGTACATGTGACGACAGCAGCAGCCAGGCAAATGAAAATCCGGATGCTGACCCAGAAGACTTTGAAGAGCATGAGATGAACGTTGAAGAAGACAAAGACGCAAGTAGTGAGTTACTTAATGCTTTCTCTGAGGTAAATTGTAACTACTCTTCTAGGCGAAGGAACAGTGATTGCTTTACCATTAACTTAAAAACTGTGCTGTTGGGAGCCTCTGAAGAGAACGTGGATAGTTCTGCAGCTCTTCTTTCTTCCCAGGAAGATGCAGTTGACTGGCAATGTACTCATGCTTTGGAATCAAAACTCCTGGATGACACAGAAAGTGTGCAGAAACCACACTGTTGTAACAGCTCTCGTGAATGGCAAAACTCCTCTCATTCATCTGAGGAAAGTGACTCATCAGATTCAGATACGAACCAAAAAGCTGAATACATAAGACGAATAAGTGAGAAACAATGCTATTTCATAACATAGGAATTGGTATTGTCCAACTTTATTTCTGGACTCAACATACAGATCTTGTCTTTTTTTAACATTCTGTGAGCATATGCCTGAACACCGAAAATATGCAACACTCATTTTTAACGAATACTTCTCTTGTCTTTCCAGGTTGCTCCAGGTATGGTTCAGGTGGATTATCCACAGGGAAACAAAAACAACTGTTCAGATGCAGCAGAAAGTAGTTATTTCATTTTGCAGTTTGATAGTGAGTTATACCTTTTAGCTCTGACAAAGTAAATCTTTTCTATAACTCAAATGAGAAGTTAGTTTGTAGTACAGGGAGTTGTGAGTGGCTGGTCTTTCAACCAGACCACTTTTTTAACGTGAAAGGACTCTGCTATTATTCTTTAGCTCTGTTGATGAATTACTCTGAAACCTGTTTTGCTGGATGGATTGCTGTATTCAAGTCAGTGAATTGATTTCTACATTGGTGCAGAGAAAGCTGATCAAGTGAAATAATGGGGGCAGAGATAAGAATACTCAGCTTACAAGAGAGTTCTCCTTACTGTGAATCAAGGCATTAAATATACCTTTTCATTTTTTTTAATATAATTTTGTACAATTATTAAATACTACACTTTTTAAAAAATATTTTTATGGCATTTAAACGTTTCTGCAATGTACAGTTATACTTTAACATTTGTGCTTCATAAAAAGAAAATTTTTCATATCCCTGTCTGAATGTTTACTGTGACTCCTACATGCCTTTGAAAAGCTACATGAGTTAGCCTGCTAAGAATTTACTCCTTATGGGAAGGCTTTTAGGTATCACAGCTGAAAAACTGAATTTTTTCACCTCGTGTTGATCTGCTTAGGTCCTACTTCTCTGTCCACAAGTAGTTTCTGGCTGCCATGGCTGGCAGCCATTCTTTTGGTCAGGATAGCTGAGAGTAATTTCTAAGGTGCTGGAATATATTCTGCTGCTGCACTACTTTTAAGAACTAAGTAGGTGCAAGTACCTGACAGCTTGGATCATGACAAGTTAATTATTTGCAGATTTACGCATCTGTAGAATGAGCAGATGGAACTTCCGCTCACAGTGACCCTGTAACACTGCTGTTTGCGCAGCGTAGGTGGTGCGTGCCTCTCACAGCGGCGGAAGCCAGGGGCATCGCTCACACACAAGCGAAGGCAGCGGGACTGTGCCCATCCCAGGGAAGGCCAAACCTGCCTCGTAGCCTCGTTTAGTTACAGGTGATAACTGGCCAGAAACAAATGTATTAAACCCCCACAACGAACTGGTATTTTTGGTTGGCAACAGTAATAGATTGAGAAAGAACCCTTTTTACTCTGTGAATAATAAAACTGCTCCCCCCTTTCCCCAAGTTTATGCTGGTTTTGATCAGGGATGCTGAATGTTCTGGTAGAAGTAGTGGCATTGGCATCTTTGGTGCAGGCCAGATCCTGAAGTCGGGAGATAAACCTTTCCTCAGGTAACATTCGTATTGCCTGCAGCGGGATCAGGTTTGACATTATGCATCATCTGATGTCTGTTTATGCATTATTTATTTATCCACTTAACGTTGACCTCCCATCTCCTGTCTTCCCAGCTGCCAGGCTTTATGCTGAAAACGCTCCTTAGAGATTACGAGTATCCAAGCAGCCAGGCATCGCTAACGTATTTTAAAACACAGCACCGATGAACAGCTGTCCGGACCTGCGGGAAGGTTCAGGTCCTGGGTATGCTCTTTCTGGAAAGGGGAACGCAGCCGTGGCGAGCGGGGGAGGCCTTGGAAAAGTTGGGGTGAGCCGACCGGGACGCGGGTGATGTTCCCCCGGCGCTCGGAGGCGGTCAGCCCCCTTGGCGGAGGCTGAAGCCCCGCAGGCCG